TAGTCTGCCAAGCCACGTAAAAATTGTCAATTATTAGAACGGTAAAATAGTCCACTTGTCTAATTCCGGGAATGTTAGACTCAAAGCAAAATCCATGCCAGGGCCAGGTCATCTGGCTCGCTCCCCTCACTCTTGATATTTTTAGACAACAGGACTTTCCAGGCCCTGAGAGGGAAAATGCACTGCTTCAAGTCCCAGGACCGGAATGTAGGTATTCCAAAATCCAACCCAGTTCTCTGTCTTTGGCCCTGTCTCCAGCTGGGTACTGGATTCAGGAGAAGGTATTCAGAGGAGGGCAGGGAGTGTGTTATAAAGGGGCTTTCAGGACCCATACATGGCCTACCCACTGTTTCCCCTTCCTCAGGGTCTCCAGGAACCTGTGGAGCAGGTGGGGGGGAGGTGCGGGGTCGTGACACAGGAAAGGCCAACCTCTTCCAACAGGAGGCTGTGCAGAGGGAAGGAATCTTCCAGCCTCATGACACCTCAGCCGCAAAGCTAGGGCTTAAATTTGGCTTCCAAATTCCCTGCCATGGGCTGTTTATTCCCCCCACTGCTGCGGAACTCCACAACAAGAAAACAAACAGCTGTGGGAGCAGGTGCTGAGGAAGCCATAGTGTTGGAAGGGTGCCCAGCCCTGGAGAACCAACTCGTAGGGGGTCTGGAAGGAAGCGCAGTGGCGTCTGGCAATATAATCCTGGATAAGCAAAACCAAGGCGAGCCAGCCTGCATTTTGAGGTCTTGCCCCATTCCCTACTAGCTGTGCACTCAGGCAAGTCAGTAAACCTCTCTGTGCTCCAAATTCTGCCCCTATACAACAGGGATAGTAATATCCCTGGGACATGTGAAGACTGCCGGCTGAGTCTCGAAGCCCTCGGCCGGTGCCTGGCACAAGGTGGGTGCCCATCAGTGTCCACCATTTTCACTCCGCCAGAGCCTCATACACATGTAGTGAGGGAATAAGAGAAAAACTGGTTGAAAATTTGTCTACAGAATTCGTCTGGTGCGGGAAGGGCTGTCATTTAGTTGTTGGGATGTTGGGAAGGCCGGAGGCTGACACCAAGGTGGCCAAAATTGTTCTATAAAATAAAGGTCGAGTTTGTGAGGAAGGGGGTGGGGTGGGAAGTGAAAATGGGGAAGAAAAAAAGAGGTAGAAGGAGAATGGGTTAGTATGCAGGGCGGAGGGCTGAGCCCCAGTGGGGAAAGCTGTCCTTGGAGAAATTCCCAGTAGCTGGAGGGGCAGAGGTCTTATAAGAACAGAGGGTTCTATAATGATGTAATGTATGGTGATTAACCTAACAATAAAAAAATTAAAAAAAAAAAGAACAGAGGGTTCTAGTGCTCAATTTGCATCGTCCCTGGGATGAAATGTACTGCCCTACCAACTGCCCTACATGCCCTAAATCCTACAGCGTTTGGCTTTACGCAAAGGTGGGGTGCTGTTGGAGCTCTGGGGGAATCAGGGCAAAGGGGCCTATGTTCTGTGGTTTGGGCAAATATGCCACACAACGTGAGCACGTGTGACATTCAAAATGTGGCAGAAGTGGAGAATTGGAATAAGAAGTGAGGAGAAGAAGCCCAGGAGCCCAGGGCTCTCCCTGGAGCCCGACCTTGGTTGCTCACCCTGTGTGGGATGGGATGGAGTCATTTTATTGGGGGGTGAAAGAACAGCTGGACTCTGTGTCCAAGGGATGTAGGCTCAGCCGGGGGGCAGACAAGAGTCGTGTTTGCTGTCCCTTGTCACCCTTATCAACCCCATTTTCCAGATGAGAGAAGAAGGACGTGGGGCAAGGTTCTCCTCCCTGTGGTCTTCCTGGCCCACGGTCCCTGCTGAACCCCCACAATGGTCCACCGTGTCCTAAGCACCGCAGAATGAGTGTGAGGTGGCAGTCTGCTAGTGACCGATCTCCTGGCTGGTATGGGAAGCTTGTGTTGGGACTAAGAAATCCTTTCATGACAAAGCAGGCTTGTTTTTCTGTGGTTATCCTGCAGCGAAGTGTCATCCTGTGTTAAGGTACCTTAGTGTGTGTACATGGGCCTGCTTCCCGGGGCTCTGGGCCGCTGCTGGCTCCTGCTGATGGTATGTGATTTGCATTCACTAGTGGTGGAGGGCTCCCTAGAAAGTGCCTCCTGGAAAGATCCAGAATGCTTGTCTGTTTGAGGCTTTTGCTTCTACTGGCTAAACGTCCGTGTGATAGATAGTAGCTCTTGTTCACCCAGGGACAAACCACATGCTACCTCTGGAACCTCTTCCCAGGGCTTTCTGGGAGATGGCTCCCCTCGGCCAGGTGTCTTGAAATGGCTTTTTAAAAGGGGCAATGTGCTGCTTGTATCTGTTTAAGAGGGGCTTACTGGGGAAGGAGGCTGTGGCTGGAGATTGCCTCAAGATCATTGTTAGACCTTTTTCTCTTCTCTGTTTACATATTGAGCAAAAGAATCAGAGTGTCATAGTGTCATTTCATTTTAGTACATTGTTATTACATTATAGGGAGGCCCAGAGAGGAGGAAGACTTGCCCAGAGAGACACAGCCTGCTCACATGAAAATCCGTTCTGGAGCCCAGGTCTTGCTCCTTGGTAATATTCTTTCCACCTCGCCCTAGAACTGTGTCTACAGTTGGCCAAGGTAGGAGACAGGTAGGTGTACATTACAAAGAGGAGACAGCCAGGGAGCACATCACGGCTGGCCATTAACATTTCATGGCTCAGGCACGTCACACAGGGAACAGAAAGGAGGCCTGGATTCTGTTCCCTGCTCTGCCATCAGCTCCTTGGGTGACCTCAGGCAAGTCACCTTGAGGGCTTGGACCTCAGCTTCTCATCAGCAATAGGGAAACGTTAACCCCCACGATGCTCGCTCACAGGTTTGAGGCAAAGATCAACCCAGGAGAGGCATGGGGAGATCCTTAAACAAAATTGCAGAGCCTTGGTGGGGATTACTATTAGCATTTCTAAAATCTGGTTGCAGAAACGTTGAATTGCCAGCTGAGGGTGGTTTGGGATTCGTGCACGTGCCGATACAGGGATAGTCAAGATAAGAAGGGACTTCATAAGGGACCCAGTCCATGGCTCCCACCATTTTGGGTTTCATGGACCAAAGAAATTTACCCCCAAATGAAAATTCAGTGGCCAACATAGAGAGGGCAGCCTTTGATTTTGTCTCTTGTGTCCATTAAAACAAAACAGAGTAACTCAGACAAAACGCAAGTGAACTTAACTTGCACCCATATCAGCTTCACGTTGTAAAAGAAAGGACAGTTTTATGCTTTCGGGAGGATGTACTCTCGGAGGAAAGGAGTGCCCCTTACATTAAAAATAGTTGGCTATGGGAAGAAGGGGCTACCTCGTCCTTCTCTTCCCCATTTCACACTGGGCTGGTGAACACCAGCATAGGGCCAGACCCTGCAGTGAGAGCGACCTGTGAAGGACGGACTCTGCAGGTACAGGAACTGTGATCCAGGATGGCTGGGGTCACATTGCCTCATGCAAACTACCCTTGTTGTTGACTCGCGTTTCTGTTCAAGACTGCCTCTCTCTCCCTCAAGAAATGAGAAGTTCTGGTCTTGACTTGGAAGACCCGGCGGTGGGGAGGGGATGGGGTGGTGGTGGTGGTGGTGGAATGGTGGGAGAGAAGAAGGAGAAATGAGAGTGACTCAGTGTGCCTGGGTGCTTTGCAAGTCTCTGCGAGGACGTGTGTTACATGTTCTGACTCCTGAGAGCCTGTGCCTTTTCCATAATGGGGGCTCTCGGACTCTGCTCTGTGTGTCATAGCCAGCCTCTCACCTCATTCTAGAAAGAAAGTTGTATGGACCCACAGCTGTGCCTGCTGGTTTTCGGAGTCTAGAGCTGCTCCTGCCCTACAGAGGCATTGTGGGAATTGAGGTCCCTTGTGAAGTAATTCCAGCCAAGGTTAACATATTGTTACAAAGCTGTAGTTAGTAGTCTTCCCTGAAAGATCCAGAATACTTGTCTGTTTGGGGCTTTTGCTTCTACGGGCTAAACGTCCGTGTGCTAGATAGCCTGAAGGAAACTCCCAGTGGGATGCTATTGGTAGGCAGGGCTGTGTTCAGACACTGTGGTAGACATCGTGTCCCACAGATGCTCTGGTGTCTCTAGCTGGGTGCCCAATACCTCACCCTTTCTTTTTGACTTTTTTTTCTCTGAGCTGTCTGGTTATCCAGCTGTGATGCTATTTAGGTTCTAAAGTTTATAGGACAGAGATAGGTTCATGTTCTGGGGTGGAAAAAAAAAACATTGGATAGGAGATGAAGACATCTGGATTCTGGGTTTGGCTCCATGTGACCTTGGACATGACGCTTCACTGGCTCTTACTTTTCCTCTTCTGTGCAAGGAAAACATTCACCAGATGATCTCAAAGTTTTTCATCCTCAGTGTTAAGCTAAGTCTGCATATCCCCTCTGGGGCTCGTAGAGATGATGCGTTACGTTAACTAGTGACGGCAATGATAGGAAATGAAGGGGGTGAGGAGGATGTCTGTTTTTACAATCCTACCTTCATTATGCATTTCGGCTACTACCAGTTATTTCATGATTACTATATGCCAGTGGTCGCGCCAAGCAATTTATGGATGAGATCTGATTGGCTTCTCCGATTCCTTCATGAGGTAGGTAGTATTATTCCCATTTTATAGATTAAAACAAACTGAGGCTCCCGGGTGGGATGTAGAGCCAAGATTCATACCCACATTTGCCTGACTCCAGATTTCAAGCTCTTAACACTATGCTGCTTTGCATTGCTGTCCGTGTCCATGTGATGGCCTATGTCATAGGTGGGATTTTCATTAATGGCAGAGCTGTGGGCACCAGGGTGCCGAACGGAGCCTGCTCAGATGAATGCATATGTACCAGCTCAGCTCTGAGCAGCCGCCACCTTTGCCTCCACCCTCTTTTCTGTTGGGCACTGCTAGGATGCTTCCGGCGGTTAATCCACTATGGTGTCATAGGGATGATTTAATATACATTTACTCCCAATTCCAAGGTCTTACCTCCTTTAAGGGGGAATTTTCCCGGTGGGTTGGGAATGGAGTCCTGGAAGAGAAGAAAGAAAAAAAAGGAGGCAGTGTGAGATCATCGCCTAATGGAAAGAACTCATCTTTTTTCTTTTCCATTTTGGTTGCCCTCCAAGTGCTGTGCAATTTAGAATTTGTGTTCCATTTGACTCTTAAAGTTAAAAAAAAATTAATTCACTGACCCAGTTTACATTGGGCTTTCTCATCCATTTGCTCAATAACTTGCCTATATCAGGAATGCAATTTGAGGGTTACTATCCACATTTCACAGGTGAGGAACTGGGGGCTGAGCAGGGTAAAAGGAAAAGTTTATGGCAGCTTCGGGGACCAGAATCTGCAACTCATCGCCCTGTCCAGGGCTTTTGTTTTCACTTCTGCATTTGATATTTTCCCCCCTCTGGTCAACAAAAGACCAAGCAAGTGTAATATATAAATACATGTGGGTTTTTTTCCGTATTTGATTCATCAAACAGTGAAAGTACGCTGTAAACATACCTGGGAAGGTACATCTCTCTCTTTCCTGTGGTTGGAAATTCTGAATTAATTGAATGTTTATATGCCAAGCGTTGTGACGATACGGTAAATAATGAAATCGGGTCCCCACCCTCATGACTTTATTACAAATTTATATATGATTATAATATCCAAATACTTATAACTATATAACATAAATAAACACAAAGGGATATTATGTATTTATAAATTCACATTGTACTTCATATTATCTGTTCTGTCATGAACATGAATATATATATATTTATACAGATAAATAAGAGGTTGATAGAAGTGGATTATCTTCTGAAGGGGGGGGTCTCCTGTGTTGGGGGATGGGAGGGACTGATAGGGAGGCCTTGTTGGGGGTACTCTGAGCACGGAGGCAACCGAAGCAGCTGGGCACAGTTCTTTACCCCTCACAAATCCCTCAGAGACTGACGTCCTCACGTTTCACCTCCCTCCCCTTCTCCCCGCCTCAGCCATGGAGCCACACGTCAGGTGTCTTGCCAGTAAGGAATCAAGTATCTTATTTCTCTTGTGACTTGTCTAGGTTGGGGTCTCCTGTAGTGCACTGGATTGAGATATTAATAAAGTCCTAGAGAGGGTGTGTCTCTGATGTGGTTGAAAATAACTCCCCGACCTCTTCCAGAGCAAGAAGTTAGCATCTGTGCACATCTACTTCCTTAGTGTTCTGTCTGAACACCTAGGACCCTCTGGAGTTTCCCTTTTATCCTGCCATTTCTCTGGGGGCTCTGTCCTTGGCCTTCCACTGATGGCTCATTTTCCGATAAACGGATCTCTTCTCCAGCCCAAGTGTGCTGTAAGGAATTGAGGAAGTCTCCCGAAGGCAAAGCCCTGGCATATAGCTCTGCTCTGGAGATGGCAGAAGTCAGTATAAACTTTTGGCCTTCAGCTTTTCAGGGCAGAGGCAGTGAACTTGGCTTGGAAGCTCCTTCCCTCTCGGCTCTAATAGTCTATGATTTTATCGCTTTAGTTGAAAGCTCTTAACCTAAGTAACAATGCTGTGCATTTGTGGTCGCTCAATTATGCATGCAGTTCATAGGAAAACCTGACATCACCAAATTCCCCTCCGTGTTGCCTCTGCTGGACTGCAAAGAGCATTTTGAAATCTAATGAATGGCTAATTTGCTCCCAAGTATGATCATCAATTAGTGTGATGTGGAAATGCATAAAGAAAAACATCTATGTTTAAACATGGTGCTAAGATGGTTGAATTTGTTGGCCACCCAGGAAAGTGTCTAGGGAGAGCGAGAGAAGGTTGGTACAGTAGAACCACCAGGGCTGTCCCAGCCTCCACAAACCATCCGGGAAATAACAAAGTCATACATTCAGCACCTGTTCAATGAGCACCCAGTCTGTTGTGTGCCAGGGAGTACATTACTCACCGGAAGATATCCTGTGGATTTTATGGCTTAGTCATTAAAGCTGTCATTTAAAATAGACAAATAAATATATAATTGAATTGCAAGTTGAGGCAAGGACTATGAAGGGCCCTTCAAGATAAAAACTTCTCAAACTTTAACGCGTATGCGAATCACCTGGGGAACTGGTTAAAATGCAAATTCTGATTCAGCTGGTTTGGCTGGAGCCTGAGAGTCTGTATTTCTGACAAGCCCCCAGGTGTCGCTGAGGCTCCTGGCCCACAGAACACACTTTGCATACGTGGCAAGGTTGTAAGAGATAATACCTGGGAGGAGGACCTCATTTATATGGGGGTCAGAGGAGGCCTCTGTTATTTGAGGGCTTTCAAGTTTCCTAACTCTAGTACAGGAAAGATTCCGGTTGCTTAAACCTTCACCCAGAGCCCAGGACATCCAAGATGGAAGTGTGATTATTCCTATTTTGGAGAGCTCCTGGGACGAGGTAGCCATAATTCCCCTGCTGCCCATGGTAGAGAAGCTCAGAGAAGCAGAGCCAGAGAGGAACCTCGGCATCTTTCAGTACATCAGGCTAGTTTAATAGAAGAGGAAATCGAGACACTCATGAGTCAGTGGCAGATCCTGGATTGAAATTCTCTGGTGTTCTTTCCACTGCCCCAAGAGAGATGCTAGCTTCGGAAGCCAAGGTTGGGGATGCTCATTCTCCTCTCCCTTTAGCAATCAATCCTTGCATTTGGAGGTTGAAAGCCAGGGTGTAAAGAGATGGTGACTTTTACAATTTGCTGGGAGTTGTTTATGCCCTAGGCACTATCTAGTGCTGTCCATCAGCTCCTCTTTGGCAAGTGCCTCCGAGTCCTTGCATTTTCCCCCAGATCTTGCCTGGGTATCTGGGTCTTGGCTGGGGAAATGTGGACTATCTTGCTCAGTGACTTGGCTTTGTGGTCAGTTGCACATAGGCTGGACACAGACCCGAGCTAATGGACGCTCCCAGGCTGTCATTCTCAGCTCCATTGAGTAGCTCAGGAAACTTTATCTCCATGGTTAACAACCTGCTACACTTCCTTCATTGTACTTCTTTTGTTTCAGACTACAGGTGTCTGATAGGTATTTCCAACAATGTTTCTGTGGATGGAGGGAGGAACCGTCACATTTAACCTACTTGTTCCCGGGTGGAATGACTCAATCACAATCATGTTCCCTGCCCAGGACTCTGTTTTCCTGTTTCTTTTTGTCACTGTGATTAGAGGGTTAATCATCCTTCCCTCCACTGGCTTGTTGCCGACACAGTAAGATATTGTATACAAAGTACTGAAAAGTGCTAGAAATGATAACTATTTTGGTTACTCTCTGGATCCTGATGATGTGCTTAATTTGCCCCAATACCTTGAAAGCCTCAATTCTTTCACAGAGCAATTCTGTGCAGAAGCAATCAGATAACAAATGTGCTTTTGATCAAAATGTCCTCCTTTCTGATTGAAAATGGCCAAAGGCAACTAATGTTTAGAATATGCCAGGGAGATTACATATCCCCTTCTTTGCTGACCTCAAATTGTCTTGTAAGGTTGGCCATGGAGATTTTGGGCCACGAATTGTTTCCCTTACTTTCAAGCTAGCATGGAGAAGCACTTCCTGAGGGTGCTTAGTCCTCCAAGGCTAAATGCTTTCCATGCATTATTTCATTTGGTCTTTACCCCAAGAGTTAGTGATTGATGAAGCCCTAGAGATTTCAGAAGGTCCTACAAATGGTGACTAGCAGGGAAAAGTTTCACATCAAGTGTGTCGACCTGGAAGACAATGCTCTTCAATGCCATGCTACACTGCCTTTCTAGAGTAGGGCAGGATGAAGCTGGGGCAGAAAATGCTCCCGCGAGTCAATGAGAAAGTGGATGGAGGTCACAGAAAATCCTCAGGAGAAAGACAATTTTTTTTTTTTTTTGGCAGCCTTTGTTTTGGTATGGTTAGTGTAAGTGGGAACTGGACCAGAGTGGCTTAAAGCAGTGCTTTTCCCAGTGGGGATCTTGTTAAAATGCTGACTCTGGTTCAGTAGGTCTGGGATGGACCCTTAGGTTTTTCATTTCTAATAAGCTTTTAGATGATGCCAGTGCTGCCGAGCCACGGACTACACTTTGAGTAGCAAGGGCTTAAAGACATTGCTCATTAGGCAATCAGAACACCTGAGGTCTTCCTTCCCCAAGGAATGGGGGGTGGGGAATAGCTACAGGAGGCTGGGCTCATACATGGGTTTAGGAAATCTTCTTCCTACTCTGCTGATGGACGTAGCATCCTACTCTCTTACCCACCTCTATCAGTGCTTCTTGCCAGCTACCTGTGCTTCCTGCTGTTCCCCTGGGCGGACTTCTGTTCTGGCCCTGCCACTCCTCTCCTGACACCTGGGCTTGCCTGCTTCTGGGCTGTGCCTCTGCTCATTCTTCTGCCTCACCTGGAAAGCCCTGCCCCAGCTCCACCGGCTACCATCCTTCCAATGGAGAGCTCTTCTCCACTGAAGAATACAGTTAATAAATGCAGAAAGAATGATAGGATTAGGCGATCATCATTCTTCAACCCTCAGTGCATGCCCCAACAGACAAGGATCATTGAGGAGTGCCCAAACTGCTGAATGAAAGATATTTATATGTCTTTGAAGTATTACCCCATAGATTACTTATTAGTAAGAAAGAAAAAAGTGTTCACCAGGGGTCACCACCTCAATCAAGTAACCAAACATCATCACCGATAATGGGACAACCTGACGTATGCCTCTACGTGTGCTGCCATAAGATGTGACATTACTTATGTACTATTCTTGCCAAGAAAGTTTCATCTGAATATAATCACAACAAACACGAAGCCAAATCCAAAACTTAGCCAAATCTATAAGCGTACTGGCCTGGACCCTTTGAAAAAGTCAATGTCCTGAGAAACAAACAACAAAGGGCAGAGGAAATTGCTAGATGATTGCTTCTCAAACTTCAGCGTGCATGAGAGTCACCCAGGGAGCTTATTAAAAAACAAATTTTTATTCAGTTTGTCTAGAACGGGGCCTGGGTTTCTGCATTTCCAGCAAGCTCCCAGGACCACCTTTTAAATGGCAACATTCTAGATTGAAACAGACACAACCAAATGTGGTGTGTGACCTGAGTGTGGATTCAGGATCCCCTGTCAAAACAAGGCACGACAGCTGTAGAAGATATTCTTGGACAAGGGGCGGGCATTGATATATGGACTGTGCACTATTATTAGATGGTATCACTGAACTGACATTGATTATCTTGGCCGTGATAATGGCCTTGCAGTGAGGAGGAGATGGGTGCTGGGACAGGTGCAGGTAAAAGACCACGCCGTCTGCACCTTACTGTCATTCACATAAAAAGAGCACAAATAGGGCAAAATGTTAACACAGCCGATTTAGGTGAAAGGTTATATGGGTGTTTACCATCCTACTTTTCTGTAGGTTTCAAAATCTTCAAAATAAAACTTTAGGTGTAAGACATCCTTCTGATTCTTGGAGGGGGTTCAGCTTCTGTTCTAGCTCTTCTGCAAGCCCTGCCCTCATCCCAAGCAGAAATTCTTCCTCCCCTCCCATCGATGGCATTCTGCCGTGGACTCAAGCTCTTGGGTGTTTGGGCCTTACTTTGAGAATCCTCAGAAAACAGGGGTCCTGCCCTGTTCACGTGGGTCCTTCCCTAGCACAGGGCTTGCCCCTGAGAAGACTTTCTGTGTTTTCTTTTTCTTTTCTTTAATTGATAAATTGAATGCATTGGAGAGAGTAGTGTGGGTAGAGAGAAGCACCATGGAGCATTTCAACTCACCCCTATATTGTATCTGGACTTAAAAGCAAACCAAAAATCCATACCTACCTACCACCTACCACCACCAACAATCTCTACACCTAACCCGATGCTCAGTCCATTCTTGGTGAGGAGGCAGAGTGGTACTGGAAGGATGCTTTTTATTTTTTTAAGGCATTTTCTTTACTTACAAAGGGAAAGGAGGCAGCTTCTTTCTCTTTCTAGAAGGGGTCTTCTTGAAAACCTAATGATCCTGAGCCCTTGCTCTAACCCTTTGGAATATAAATAAATCTCTTCAGGGACTGGATAAGCCCAGTCCCTAGGTTTATAGAATTGGCCCTTAGATTGAAGACTTTAGAGCCTTTTGAAATGACACTTCTATAGTCAACCTTGTAGCCTATCTCCTTATATAACCCTTCGTTTCTGGAAGAGATAAGATACATTTAACTGTTTTTCATTTGCTTTGCTGTACAAATTGTGCGAAGTTTCATCCTGACACATATGCATGCACTTTGTTGTGCTTACTTAATACTAAATCAGCTTTCTGTCTTTCCATATGGATGTGAAGAGGTGTCTCTTTGTTGGTAGGACTTTTACTGACTTGAGAATATATTGGTACAATCTCTTTCGAGGCTGAATGATACTTACTGAAGTGAAAAATACACATTCTATTCCCATCACTAGGAATTTATCCCACAGATATACTTGCAGACGTGGACAGTGGGTAAAAACTTCTAGAGAAAAATAGAAGTGCCCTTCACTCGGCACAGGGAAAATAAATTATGAAGCAGTGATACAACAGAATACTAGTGACTCTTCCAAAGAATGAGACAGACTTTCATGCATTGCCATGGAAGGGTCTTCAAGATATACTGTCAACTCAATAAAGCAAGGTGCAAAATTATGAGTCTACTATAACGACATGTTATACTATATATTTGCAGATGCACATATTTTTGGAAGGACATGAAAGAGTCTGTCCATGGTGGTTATGTCTGGGAAGAGGGACTGGTGGCTGGGTGCGCAGGATGTGAGTGAGTTTTACTTTCTTTTCCCATGTTTATTGTTTACTTTTCTTAAACCATATGGATATGATATATTATAATAAATACACTGGCTTAAATGTAGATTAAGAAAAACTACCACAGGGACTCTGAAGACATTACTAGACAATCAGTTCTATAAGTAACACAAAAGCAGGAATCCTGTTGGCTTTGTTCAAGCTATATCCCTGTTGCTTAGAACAATGTCCCACACACAGAAATTGCCCCATAAATATTTGAGATTGAAAGCGAAGCTCCTTCTTTGACTCTCCCAAGGAGTTTGACCTGGGAGTTTCTTGATCTTCTGGCCAAATCTCAAGGTAATCTTTGTTGGTTTTCCGACATATCCTATCTCTTCTGCTCTCCGTCACTTTGTTCACGCTTGGTTCATTGGCCAGGAGTTCCTCTCTGATTCCCCTTTCCCACCTGCTTTAAATTTCTCAAGCCAGTCTGGAACTCCAATCTCCAGTGAAGTGTTTCTTAAACCTGGGAAAACACTCTGTCTCCTTAACTTGTGGTGTCGTGGAAACCCTATGTGGCTCTACCTTCCAACCATTATCTATCACGATTGATCTTGTTTTAAATTTTGTCTGTTCATGTGCTTCTTATCTAGAACTGTGACTTCTTAGGCCAGTAAAACCATTCTCATGGTACTCCATTCCTGCCCCCTTCCAACCTCACACAGAGTGCTATGTAGCCATCGACCATTCCATTTTTTGATAATTGGGATGTGAATTTAAGTTTCTTGGGCCTCTCCCATTGATTTCTTTGCCAGAGGTCCTTTTAGAGTCTCTCTGTTTATCTAAGTTCTATCTTTCCTGGAATCAGCCTGCATTCCCTCTTCCTGCAGGAAGCCTTCCTTCATAACTCAAGGGGATAACTCTTCTTAGCTCTTGCAATTGTTAACATCCGAATAATTTATTGGAAATGATATATGTGCAAAACACTGAACACTTAATATCACAATTAGTATTACAAGCCTTAGCTTTTAAACAAATAACTGATATCTGCCAGACTAAAGAAACCACAGCCCACCAGACCATACAATCAGATTGTGAAGTAAATTTTTTCATATCCTAACATGAGGAGTAAGTGAAGGAAATGGATGTGCAAGAAGATAAACCTCCCGAGAGGGAGCAGGAACAAAGTTTCTAAGTGCTTCTGTGGCTGGCTGTATTGGCAAAGGGAGTGCTGTTCTCATTAAACAATTAAGCACAGTCTTGAGTCTATCACTTTCTCAGGATGTCTTAGTTCAAGCCCCTTCTCCTTTCTGTTCCTGATTTTCCATACATACAAAAATGGGGCAGGAGGATCCTCTCTAGTTCCTTCCTGGAAAGAATGGATTTGAATAAGAGCCCTTCTAGAGCTCTCTCCAGCTTTATATTTCATCATCACCCCCAATACCTTTCCTTTCTTTCTCCCTTCCTACCTTCCCTCCCTCCTTCTTAGCAGTTCTAGCTAACAATATCTAACTAAAAAACTTCTTAAAGACCACTTCAATTTCTTTTCTTTGGCCATTACTATAAAATGATATACTTCTGATTTATCAAATTAGAATTATAGAAATTATCTAACATCTACCAAAAAAAATGCCCTGGAATATTTTCAAGAGTATTATTCTCAGTAGACATAGATGAGCCAATTCAAGGATGTATTTCAACTAAATCAAATATTAGTAATTCTTTTTTCTTTCACTTTGATGGAGATATGATCCTCAAAGCTTCATTTAAATTTCAAAGCTGATGACACTTGAGAAACAGACAGCAAAATTTTTTAAAGCCTAGTTCTTTTCAGCAACCCATACGGTATAGAACGTTCAGCCTAAGACAACTGAAGGGAAACCGGGACACATTCTGCAGGATTGTAATGAAAAATGGGAGCTCTGAAGGAATAAACAGAAATATTCTCACTTTGGCAGGGCGTGTGGAGAGAGTGAGTTCTCAAATTACCAAAGTTACCAAAACTTTACTTCATTAAAAAATTCGTGAGCAACATATACCATCAATACGGTATTTTCTACAAAATGCACACTGCCCAGATTGGCCGGATTCTCTGTAAACACCAGTTTCCTAAAATATGAAGTGTCCTCCTTCGTCTCTTCTGTTTTTGCAACAAATCGTGCCATTTCCTCCAAACAAAGTAAATTTCCTGAGACAGTTTGCCTCCACGGTGGGTGCCCGTGATTGCTTGTCGTTTTAGTATTCGGGGCAGTCTCAGAGGGAACAAGGTGTTAAAAACATTTCTGCCCCCGTGCTCTAGATTTCTCCTGACATCCTAAGCTCTTCCAAGCAGTGGCTCAGGGGGAAGTTTTCAACTTGCCCTGTAGGCTTAAATAGCTCTAAGGAGCTAAGCCTGGGCTCCTGTTTTGCTTCCTTCCCTTATCCACCTTGGCCACTGAAACTTAACTTCTTGTTGAGAAAGCTCTTGGCAACCGAGGAGGCCCCAGAGATCTCAGCAATGTTTGGACTGAGAATAGAGAACCTTGGAATCTGGTCAGAAGACCTTGAAGACAGTCATGAGTCACTCGAATCTGTTATCAGATTTCCTTATCACTTCCTTCTTTGATATGCATCTCCGGCCCAGCAACATTTAAATCATAATTTCTTAATAGTAACTGCTCCTCTCTTTTCTTCTGGCCCATGCAAGTCTGGAAAGTTTTGAGATGATGGCTGAACCCATTTTTCTCTTAAAAGCCAAATTATTGCAGAGAGTTGAGCTCCTGTTTCTTTTCTCCCTCTTCCTACATGATATATGTACCTTTTCTCCTCTCCTTCTCAACTACTTTATGAGTTTATTCTCAAGGCTCTCTCTCTCTGGGGAGAACTGAATAGAAACCAGAAAGGAAAGGCGATGAAAAGTCCACTTACCGTCTTCTGAACTACCAACATCATAATGGTTGCCACAGCAAAGACGAGACACAGAGCCAGCGCAGTGGTGGTGAAGTAGAAATAGCCACGGCTCGTGGTTCCCAAGTGGCTGGCAACGGAGCCTGCTGGTACATGCATGGCTGTGTCTTGAGAAGGGGCCACTCGGGTGAGTGCTTGCTGCAGCCCTGGGTCCATTCTTATATAGTCTTCCCACAGCACACTTTATCTGTCCTCATCTGATTCACTTCTGGGCCCATCTCTGTTCCAAGAAGGATTCTCCCCCTGCATCCTGGATCATGTGACGTGGAAAAAAACCTTCACCGGCTGCCACACGAAGAAACTCTTCTCTGGGGGCGTGAGGTGAAAGGCGGCAGCAAGGGTGGGGGAGAGGCTCATTTTTCATTGCCAGCCAGGGATGAATCTGAGTACAGAGCAACTGTAGCTCCAGAGAAGGTGATTAATGTCAGAGGGCAAGTAAGAAAATGACGGTTTCCCTACTCTGGTGTGTGTGTGTGTGTGTGTGTGTGTGTGTGTGTGTGTGTGTGCACAAAGCGACTTCTGTTTCATTTAGACTCAGCCACAAAACGCCTTCCTGCTTGAGAAGCCGCAAATTCTCTCTAGTGAGGCCTGCAGCTCAGAAGACCTCGGCAGAAAATGTCTCTTTGCGGAGCCTCAGAGAAGCTGGGGTCCTGGGACTGGGCTATAAGGACTCAAAAGGGTTCAGTCTGATAGTATCAGCTTCTGCGGAAAACTGGACATGTTACCAGCTACCTGGGAAGGAAGAGCCCACAAACGTGGAGTTTTATCCGGAGAGGGCAAGCCCACGGGCAGGATGAAATGTGGGGGCAGTTTCAAAGAGAGCAGGGATCTGGAAACACTGAGCTTCTCAACAAAAATTCCTGCTGCCTGCATTGGGAGGTGCCAAACCTGCAGACAAACCTGGGTTCGCCAGCACACTCCCAGAAAGGGGAAGGGCCTGGCGGTGGGGGTGGGGGTAGGGGTGGGGAAGTGGGTGGTGCAGAACATGGGAGGCGTGTTCTGTGTGGGGAGCAGGTGCAGTGTGGGGGGCAGTGGGTGTGTGGTATGCACGTGTGGCGCATGTATGCTGCACGTCCACGATGTGGGGTGCATGTTGTGTGTGTCTTATGTGTGGTGTGAGGTATGTGTGTGTGTGTGAGTGTGACTGTTGCAGCTGAAGCTCAACCATCTCAGGCGCAGTGCTGGTGTTAGGGAGCTTTGCACCTTGCCTCACTCCGATCTCACCTCTGCCCTCTGACGCAGCTAACGTTTCCTTTCCACGGTTGGCAAAATTGAGGATCAGAGAGCATGAAAACTGTTTCGATCAAAGTGGTAATTGTCAATCAATGACATCACCCGGGTGCATAGCCTTACCTGTCGGCCCATGTTAAATCGTTCAATCATCACAGCGCTTGAAGGCTGAAAACCTGAGGTCTGCTCTCAGCCCTGTCCACTGTTGGCTTTGGGACCTTGTGCGGGTCCTTACGTCCCTCCCTTCGCCCCCATGCATGGACAGCCACTGTGCATTTCACACAAAAGAGTCAAGGGAGGGTGCTCCGGGAATGGGGATAGACTGGGCAAAGGTGTTGGCCCATCCCTATTAACTATTTCCAGTGGTGCCCAGGGCTGAGTCTTAGAATTTGGACAGCTATAATAGATTCTCTAGGGGACAGAGTTGTCACATCCACAGTTACCAACAATCTCCATTTCAACACCCCATTTAAAATATGAATGACTGCAGAGCTGGTGCCTCCAGATGTAGCTCTTTGAAAACCTCATTCGGAAGTACCCAGTTCTCGGTAAGTGCCAGCCCTCCCCTGCCTTTCTGCTCATTTCTGGTTGCACTGTATCTCAGAGAGCCAGCAGAAATCCCAGCTCCTCCTAAGGAAATACCCTGTGTCCAAGGCCAAGCTTGGATGATTCCTCCTGCTGCAATTGCAGTGAACCCAGACGGCCGAGCATCACTTGAGCTGGGTCAGACTCTAGGGATTGGTCTGAATATTCCTTCCCAGTGAATCCATAAAATCACAGATCCTGGAGATGGAAGAGCCAGCAAGAGGTAAATTGTTTTCTTGGGCTACCTAAAGTGGTATAAAGTATACCTGTGTCACAGTCAAGGAAGCAAACACCCCCTGGACCCCAAGTCGGGCTCAGTTTTGGAAGGAGTGGGTGCACGTGTTCATTTGGTCTGGGAACTGAGGTGGGAATGAAGCAAGCCAGTGTCCTCACGGTGTGTACCTAGCTGATCTGGTGAGAAGGCTGTGTCCGGTGCTGAACATGGACAGTGAGTGGGTAGCGGGGGGCGCTGTAACCTGCCCAGCGCTGCTGAGAACACAGTCCTGCCTTGGCCTCTGTCTTCAGTCTCTTTGATGAAAGTGGAAAACTTCTGATTGTGGAATGGAAGCTGTGGGTGTTGAAAATAAAAAGGCTTTGCTTGAAGTGCAGGTCTTCCTGAAGGCCCGTGGGGCTGAGAAGGGTAGTGGAAAAAAATGTTTGTCTTACAGTTACACATTTTGCATATAGTACAATGTCCTGAGAGGGAAGGCTGACAAGGGGGAAAAAATCACCCTTTGTTTTTACTCAGAACCTTCTGAGCAGTTGAGATTTTCAGATCCGTTTGCTTCTCCAGCAGCCTGTGGGCCTGATCTCACGGCTGTCCTCGTGCCTCTCCTCCACGCGCAAGCTTCCCTGCGTCCCACCCCCACTGGTCTGAACCCTCTCACTGCCCAGCTGCTCCGGGATCCAGCCTGGCCAACGTGGTGGTCCCACCCTTTGTGCTACCTGGCTGCTTTCTCTTTTCCATTCGGTCATCCGAGATACAAATCGAAAGAGCTTTTACAGAGTTTCTCGTTGAGTGACTTTCAAATCCCTTCTGGAAGCGAAACTCTGCAGTGAGTGTAGAAATGTAAGAACGCGGCGCTTTTCTGGCTGAAGCAGAGGCAGGATGACGAAGAGGAAGACTGGGCCCAGTGGCCTGGGGTCTCTCCAGGCTGGAACAGAACTGGCAGACTTGCGAGTTAGGTCAAAACCCTTATTCCTCAAATCAGGAAACCGAGGCAGAGAAATGGAGATGAGTCAAGGGGGTAAAGTCGTGCTTAGGAGTCCCCCATGCTCATTCTTATCCCCTCTCTGCTAATATTCCAGGCACAGCCTCTTCCTGCCAGGCCGTCCTCACCCTTCCACTGCTTCAGAGCCTTCCTGCCCTGCCGCCTGCTTCCATCTCCCAGGGAAGCCTGCCCAGGGCTCTCAAGCCCACCAGTATCCTCTCTCCAGAGCACTCCATGGTCATGGCCACACAATATTGTATCCAATTAACTGCTTGTTTTGACGTCTGTCAAGTGTGTGAACACGTGTGACTCTTGCCTTCCCCATAAGACTGAGAGCTCCTGAAGGCAGTCTTCCTTGACTCCCACCCTGCACTACTGGGGGCTGGACCTATGTATGATCAACCCTCCGTCAATGCTTGCGTTGACTTTGTGTTTATGGGAAGAGAAGGTTCTAGAAGGTTGGTTTATACAAAGGAATTGTGTGATGGTGTATTTGTCTCTCATTTCTCAGCGGGTCCCTGGTTTCCCCGTCCTTCTCTAGGGCTTACCTGGCTGCCCGTGGGCCTTTACATTCCAGCATGGCCCCCACAAAAGTCACCACCAGCCTCCTTTCAGCCTGTAGTTAGTTGCTGAGCTGTGGCTGCATCATCTGAGACTCAGTGAGCAAAAAAATCTAATCTCTCATCCCTTCGGGAAGGAACGGCGTTTTGGAAAAATGAAGAGGAACCAGCTGTAGGACTGCCCCCCAAACTGCCCTGCCATTGTTTCCCTGTATAAAGAACTGTAAGATCTCTATCATACAGACCCAAAGGGTGGTCCCTCGGCTAGCACTAGCAAAATTTGGTGGCACTGCAAGTTTTTCGGCTCCTCCCTAGAAACTCAGGCTGGGGTCTAGCCACCTGTGTTTTTTTTTTTTTAGCCAATTTTTTTTTTATGTTGAGAGAAAATTTTAAAACTCTGAGGGTCAAACAAGACACATTTGCATCCATGGGTTATAAATCATGTAGGCATGTGCTTATGACCCACTTGACTGAAAGGTCCCTAAAGACGGGGGTGGAGCTTTGTCTTGGCATCCCCCTCTATACCTGGCATGATGCCTTGCACACAGCTGGCACTCAATAAGTGCCCATCCATTTGCACATTTATTAAGCACCACTCTGTGCCTATTGTTGGGCTTGCCACAGATCTCCAGGTGAACTGTGACATGAGCACCCTCGGAGGAAACACGACAGCGGCGAGTTAAGTCTAGGTAAGTCTCCGGCCCTGGGGAAACCACCAGAACTCAGCTGGCTGTAGGTTTACAGCCGACCCCCTCCCATTTTCCCTGGTTACGTGAGCCTGCAACAAATGGGCAGAAAGAGCAGATCACGTCCCCCTCGCAGGCTTGCCCTGGCGGGGTTTCTGCTTGTGCTGACACCAGCATTCCCAAGTCAGCGCTCATTCCCAGGAGTGGTGATTCCCTTTTTTGCCCTGCCCCAGGTCAAGGCAAGCTGGGACGGGACGGAAACCACAGGCCCGGGCAGTTTGCTGACTCCTCCTGGGGCGCAGGGCTGGGCCGGGAGGGCTGCTGGAGTGACTAAGGCCTTTTCAAGCTTCTTCTTGTTGGGAGAAGACTCACTGCTCCCATGGTTTGGGGCCCTTCTCCTAAGTTAGGTCCTATTTGCTAGGTGGCTTGCGTGATGACCACAGGACAAGGTAATATTCTCAGTTCATGATGAGGTGAGTCCCGCTGAGGAAATGTAGCAAACTCTTACCACAGTTTCTCTCCCCCATCCTTGGAGAAGGTGATTGCCGATTATTTCTGCAGTGACGCAGGACAGGTGGTTCTCATAGGCAGCATGATTCTGTGGAGGGGTCATAAGCTATTCCCCTGGCACTGTACTGTGGCGTCCTCTCTTTCTCTCCCATTCAAGAGACCATTCTGGAATGTAAGTGGGTGGGAGCATGAATTTGTTCTAAGAGTCACCTTGAATATATTCTAATTGTAGTGTTATATGAATCTTACTGCCAAAACTCATGTAAGTGAGACTTGTCATATTCCTTTATTTCAAGTTACCTTGAGCTTGGAGACCTCACCCTCTGGGCAGGCAGGACAATAATACCGTTGGTAGCAGGTGGGGCAGGCTCTCCCTCTCCCTGGGGATGCAGGAAAATCCAGGAGGTTACACAGCCCTGGAAAATGGAGACGAGTCCACTCTTCTCCTGAGGCCAAGTCTTCTGCTGATATCCCCGGGCTGTCTCTGCAGAGGAGGAGGCTAGCATTAGCCACCTGTGTTTTAATAAGTACCCCAGGGCCTTGCAATTCCTGAAACTATTTGGAAATCATTGGTTTAGGAAAATAATCTGTCTAAATTCCAGAAAGAGTCTATAAGGGATCATCTGGTCCAGGCTCTGGCCTTTGGGCAGGTGAAGTCCTATCCCCATTGTGTAGATGAGAAAATTGAGGCATAAAAATGTTACGATCAGGGTCATGTAGCTGGAGATTGTAGGCATGAAGCCTCGTTTTTCTGTCTCTTGTTTGGGCCCACTTTCTAAACTCAAATATGGCTGTAGGCTGTAAAAATACTATTGCAGATGGAGATATATTTATAATATTTACCTAAAGTTCTCTTGTGGAGAACACTGTGTGTGGTGAAAACAAATATTTTTTTAAAAACCTTTGGTATATGTGAAAGAAGGGCAAACTCCTCCAGGGTATTTTCAAGCAATAAAACAGGCAGGACGGATCTTGTCCCATTAACTGGAGAACCCTCTGTTTTGCACAGTCTGACTTGAGGAGGGGGGACATTGGAGTTGGCCAGAGTGACACTGCACTGAGGACCTAGTGACCACAG